CCCTCGCTTTCCCTTCCCTGAGAGCCGCTTCTCCGGACAGTTGAAGGGACGGGAGAAAGCCGCGGAAGGGGTTCGGGCGTCGCAGCCCTCCCTCCGCCTCCGATACGGGAGGGCGCGCCGGCCCGGGGGTGCGCGAGGGCTGAGCCCGGCGCCCAGGAGCCTCTCTGCTTTAAACAGGGCGCGACTTTGAGCACCTTCTGAAAAGTTGCGAAGAGCAGAGCCCTCGCTTGCGCTTTTGGCAGCTGGGACAAACGGCACCGTTTTGGACCTCCCTTGACGAATAGGCATGAGCCCCCCCAACCCGCCCCAGAAAAGAGAACAAGGTGCCCTCCCAGAGGAAAGGGGGAAATTATTTTAAAAAAAATAGGGGAGGGAAGTGGATAAGGTGAGGGAGGTATTGCTGGATCCAGATTTGAGCGCCCTCTGAGCTTCGGTGCTCTGGAGCAAAGCCTTCTCTTTCCTATTTGCAGCCCTGCTCAAGAGCATTAACAGAAAGATTGTCTTTAGCTTGCAGAGGCTTTTTTTTGGAAGGGGGAGGAGAGCAGAGAATAACCCCTTCCTCCCTTGCAGTTGTCCTAGGGTGCCGTTTGCTTTGTGAGGAAGAGATATCTCTCTGCATGTGTCTGTGCCTGCTTCCCCTTAAATAGGTCTATGTCTTTCAGGGTTGTTCAGGAGATGCGATGCAGAGTGAAAAAAAACATACCTGTTAGATTTCAGATGTCATTGTGGCTGACAAATTAGGGCTGTGTTTCGGGACTTGTGGTCCCCCAGATGTTATTGGACTGCCTCTCCCATTCAACCTAGTCAGCATAGCAGATAGTGACAAATGTGTTTGCAGATCAGTAACATCTGCAGACCGCCATGGTCCCCATCACTGATGTCCTGTACTGTATACGCAATGACAGCTGTGCACATTCAGTTCTGATTGTACAGGTAACAAGATTGGGAAAAAAATACATTCATTTTATATATGTGCTGCCTTTCTCCTCATCGAGGACCCAAGACAGCATTCCCTAGAAACGTACTACTGTACTTAAAAGCCAATCTGAAAAAGAAGGTTTCTGCCTGATGTCAGAAGGACAAGCGGGAGGAGGCCGATCTGTCTTCTCAGGGCAGTACATTCGAAAGCCACTGAGAAAGCCCTCTCTCATGTCCTTATCAAATAAGCCTGAGAAGGTGGTAGAACTGAGATAAGGACCTTGCCAAAAGATCTTAAAAGTTGAATAGCTTCCATACATACATACATACATACATACCAATCTGAAAAAGAAGGTTTTTGCCTCGTGTCAGAAGGACAAGCGGGAGGAGGCCAATCTGTCTTCTTGGGGCAGTACATTCCAAAGACTAGGGCCAGCCACTGAGCAAGCCCTCTCTCATGTCCTTATCAAATAAGCCTGAGAAGGTGGTAGAACTGAGATAAGGACCTTGCCAAAAGATCTTAAAAGTTGAATAGCTTCCTATGGAATATGATCATTCAAATAGCTTGGACCCAAGCTTTATAGGACTGTATATGTATAACCAGTACTTTAAACTGAGCCTGGAAACAGACTGAAGCCAAAAGATCTTAAAAGTTGAATAGCTTCTTATGGAGTGAATTGATCATTCAAATAGCTTGGACTCAAGCTTTATAGGACTATATGTATAACCAGTACTCAGCCTGGAAACAGACTGAAAGCCAGTGAAGCTATTGTAATAAGGGAGTTGCGTGCTCTCTGTAACCAGCACTAGTCAGAAATCTGGCTGCAGCATTTTTAATCCAGCTGAAGTGTCCAAACTTTCTTCAAAGGCAGCCCTGTGTAGAGTGTCTTTCAGTAATCCAGACAAGATGTAAGTAAGGCATGGCATGTGTGTCACCATGGCCAGATCGGACCTCTCCAGGAATGTGCACAGCTTGTGGATCAGGTTTAACTGTGCAAATGCACTCCTGGCCATCACTGAACCTGGGTATCTGAGCTCAGGATTGAGTCCAGGAGCAAGCTGTGAACCTGACTTTCCAGAAAATATACTTTTGTGGACTACAACTCCAGAATGCCCTGGCCAGTAGCTAGCAGCCAGCATGGCTAGGACATTCCGAAAAGTACTTTTCTCCATTTCTAGTTTTATATCTTGTATCTGCAGACTGGTTTCCCAGTATGGTGTGGTGGACAGAGTGACAGACTGGGACTTTGAAAAACAGGCTTTGAATCTCTGTTCAGCCATGGAAAGTGACTGGGGGAGTAGAAATGGTAAAACTACTCCTGAAATATATCACTTACCTTGAAAGTCCCATTAGAGTCACTATAAATCAATTCTGACCTATTGGCACAGAAAACACTCATCTGTAGACTACCATATACTGAGTATATATGAAGTCACACACACACACATATTGATTCCTGTGTGTACTGTTCTATACATATTATTGTGAGGAAATAAAACTCTTGGGAATTCAGATGGGACCCACTCAAACACAGGATTGCATATTAGGTATTTGCAAATAGAAAACTTTCACTCACTTCCAGTGGATCATTATTTATTCATTTACATCCCACTATTCCTCCATGATGCAGCTCAGAACTCTATGAAGGTTCCTTGTAGGACTCCTTCTCAGGTGACATCCCTTCAACCAAGGAGTGAATGGAAATTAGACTTGCTTAGATTTAGCAAGGTTGCTTAATCAAGTGCCATCAAACCAAGTCATGAGCTGATGTTATGGGAGGCAAACCAGAGAAGAAGGAGGGTTGGCGTATGCTCCTTCAACTTGTGCCTTGAGGTGAATGATCTTACTCCCTACTCCCAAATCTCCCAGTGCTATGGACTGCTTGTGGACATTACAGAATTTGGGAGATAGGTTAAAAGAAAGCAAGCAATATGTTTGAAACCAAAATTATGAATTTCAAATGCTAAATCCACATTTACATACATGGGGAAGGTTAAAGCATTGGTCTTGACTTAGAGAACATGAAGCCCAGGGTTATAACTCTCTGTATGCCTCCTACTACATAGGAGACCAGGAAAGCCCCTTTTATTGAGCAGAGATCTTGCTCTTTTTAATTCACTTTTTAAAATGTAATGTGCAGGTACACATCCCAGGGCACATCCTGAAAGACGTTTTCATGGATGACATCTACAGGTATATGCTTTTGCAATGAATGATGTGCATTTAATGTGCATTATGCCACCAGATCTTGCTTGAACAAGGGATATGCACAGATCTTATGAGTTGGATTATGGTGAACAGGTGTGCAGGGTAAAGATAAAAGATAAGAGGGGCAAAATTATTTTCTTAGACCTATCTTCTTCTTTCTCTTCCCTCACTCTATTAATCGCTTTGGGAATCACATACAAATGAGGAAGATGTAAAAATAGAGAAACTATGTGCAATAACTGAAAATGTTTTATCAAATATTTTATAATTTAAATCTAAAACATGTTAATACACCAGACTCTGTATGGGCGACATACTATTTCTAGCAAGGGTATATATTCAGTTGGTTCTCATTTTTCAATATGTTTCCCAGTTGACTGAAAAGCAGGAGATAGGATGAAATTTTAATAGAGGTGAGAAATAATAAGAGGGACGTACTGAAAGCTGTGATTTAATTACAAATAAGGATATAGAAATCTTTTTCTGTTAATAATATACAGTTTATGTATCTGGAAGATTCCACACCATTTGTAATTCCATACCTTTTAATTTTACTGTAGTCATTGGTTGAAATCCTGTTGCTTAGTGTAGTAAGTAAAAATTAGAGTAGGTCCATTGAATCATAGAATCATATCATAGAATTGTCATAGGGTTGGAAGGGACCTTGGAGGTCTTCTAGTCCAACTCCTTGCCCAAGGCAGGAGATCTCATACCATCCTGGACAGATGGCTGTCCAATCTTTTCTTGAAAACCTCCAGCGATGGGGCACCCACAACATCAGGAGGCAAGCTGTTCCACAGGTGCAATGGAGAATAAATCGATATCCTCTTCCCTGTGCCAACCCTTCAGATATTGGAAGACTGCTATCATGTCTCCCCTCAGTCTTCTCTTCCTTAAGATAAACATACCTAGTTCTTTTAGTTATTCTTCATAGGATTTAGCCTCCAGTCCCCTTCTCATCTTTGTTGCTCTTCTCTGCACCCCTTCCAAGGCCTCGGCAACTTTTTTGTATTATCAGTGTCTTTTTTGTATTGAGTGTGGATTTGGTGAGTTAATTCTTCTATAGGTTCCATTTAGTCAATGGCTTTACTCTAATAGCAACTTACTTTGGGGGCCAACAGGATTTCAGCCATTATTTAGAGTACTTTCCTGCCGCCTTTTAGGGCACAGCTTGCTCAAGGTAGCTTACAAAAGAACCATCATATACATAGCAGGAACTTCATGCCTTCAACTATTATGCATTGCAGTTTGCTCCATTTTCAAAGCTTCTAGTCCAAGAGCCAATAATTTCCCCTTTCCTCATCATCTTTGGCATGTAAACTGAAAGTATTCCCAGTCCTTCCCTCACCCAGGCCCTGGGAAGGATTGCTATATGTTGGAAGCGATTTGACAGCATGTCAGATATTTATCATTAAATATGAACTACCTTTAAAACTGACATGGTGAAGAATTTTTAGCTTGCACTCACCAGCAAAAGCGCTACATTCTTGTGCTAGTTTGAATCGATGCACTCGTGGCCAGTTCTTGGGCAGGTTTGCCAGGTTACATCCAAAGTGAGATACAGAACTGTTTTAGTGACACACAATGTATGCAGTTCCTGTTGTTTGGCCTTGTTTCTAGTATACTGGCCAGAGATGGGTGCAAAATGAACAACAAACCAAAACACCCTGACAAACTGGTCTGGCCTGTGGTTTGTTTCGTGTACCATTTTGGGGATCCTGGTTTGCCAAAGCAAAATGAATCACTGAA